GTGACCTAGCCACGTTCTTGTTTAAAGCATTGCGCGACATATACCATGTGGTATATAATGACAAACACTGACATTCCTTGTTCCTCTTACGACCACGTCTATAACGGATCTTCATTATGTCCACTGTTGCTATTGCTATTAACGTAGCGCAAATCTGCCTATGGGTGCCAATATTCTCATTCTAAAACCATGATTGTTAATGTTTAAGAGAGTATACATAAAGTACATTAAGTGGAATAGTATTTGAGACAAGCGGACTTAATACCATGTGGACTTGCTTGCATCTCAGAAATGGATCGAGCTCAAAACATTTGATTTTTTAAATGGTGTACTCCAATATCCCACATGACAAACGTGAGGAAAACAATTCCATCCTTGATCTATGGGGCATTTGTTAATAAATATGGCACCCTTGAAGATCCGGGTCCTGCACTTTGTATAACAACTCCGGTTAAAAACAGATATCAATAATTTAAGCTAAGATCAGAGTGTAGAGTAAGCTTTCACTTCAGCAATATTCTAGCTATATAGCGACCACCTGTAAATAATCGAGTCAGGACCAAGCAATCCAGTGATCGACAGCATGAGCATCGATCTTGGAACCGATGACATGTGTCAAACAAGTCAGCGAGCCTGACCACCCTATCCCGTTAGTCGCCTCTTACGACAAGCATGGGTTACTGAAGACCAATTCTAACCCGGAACTTCACGTGTCTTAAGATCAGAAATAGTCTTTATCTACAACATTGTCCTTCCATTTATTCCACAATAACAGCAGAGATCGATAACATCGTATTATAGAACTGTACTTATCGGTTCCACAATTAGCGTTTTTGATTATTTGGCAGTGTGGAGGAATGTACTTACAACTTATGTTATATTTGGGATTACATTTTCTTAGTAAAGTGCAGATTCTAGTACGTTTTGGGTTAAGTCCCTCACCCTCAGAGTCAGGCACTTAATCGCCAGCACACAAAGTCAGCCGCCCAAACCCCACAAAATGGAATTCGGACCATTGATAGTCTAGGCTGCGGATTACACTTTCTTAGTAAAGTACAGATTCTAATACTTTTGGGGTTGAGTCCGCAGTCTAGACTATCAATGTCAATTCAATTTCTTTATTTTCATAAACCACCTTGGTGGTACAAGAGCATATATTGTAAACATATATACAAATACAAATTCAAATTCAAGATGGCAGTTAACAACATTTTTTTTCTGACAAGAGATGATAGATGTAGGATATATTTTGATAGATTTACTATGTCTCGAGATGTTTTTACAGATAATATTTTCGTGAACTTTGTTTCATTGGGAAAAGAGGTCAAGTGGGAGGGTAAATATTCTTTCCTCAAAGTATCTAGTGCTTTGCAATGAAAAATATAGTGGTATTCATCTGCGATGCTTTTAGAAGTACATAGTTGACACGTTCTCTCATCCCTTGGAATATTATTCCAGCGGCCCGTCTCAATAGGTAAACTATGGTTACATGTTCTAAATCTCAATAACGGCAAAGAAATGCGTTTTGGAAGGAGGAGATATACATCAAAATTGGGAAATGGCTTTAGGTGCTGATAGTGTATACCCTTAGGACTAGAAATAATGTCATTGTGCCAGTTTTGGATAAATTGATCTTTAAGAATATGTTCAACTGTTGAGACCAGCCACTGGGTAGTACAAATTGAGGGATTATCAAAAACATACGAGAGTCCAGTATTGTCTAATATATTTTTAACGTGCGAGAGCCAGGGATTATGTTTTTTATCTATTGGTCTTTGAAGTGATAAATACTTGTAAATTAAGTTCGTAAGCTTAAAAACACCTTCTTGGTAAGTGAACTTGTGCCAAAAGTTTAATAAACGTTTATAAATCATAATTCTAATTGGGAATCTTCCTAGTTCCCAATACAGCATGAAACGAGGGGTTGAATTTCTTAATCCTGTAATGAGTCTTAAGAATTTTAAATGAATTTTCTCCAAAATTTCAAGGTTTTCGAAAGACCAGACTTCTGCACCATAGGTCATGATAGGTACTACCATTAAGTCAAATGCTAACAATAAACAGTCTAAAGGCAAGTCTAATTTTCTAGCTTTTTTCACTAAACTATACATTGCTTTTGAGGCACTATTGCTTACAGTTTTAATACCTGATACGAGTTTTCTATTTATATGGAGCGTTATACCGAGGTAGGTATAACTATCAACTATTTCAAGTAATTTCCCATCCAAATGAAATTTATTTTTTGTGCTTTTTGATGGTGCTGCCCCGAATATTACTATTTTAGTTTTGTTTATATTCACTTTTAGCTTCCATGAATCACAATAGTCCTTAAATGAGTTCAAAGCATCTTGTAGTCCCTTTGACGATTCATCAAATAATATTGTATCATCTGCATATAATAAAATTAACAACTTTACAAATAGCACCAAATCTTCGTCTTCAATATAGTTTAGATTTACACCATTACAGTCTGAAGTAAGTAAATGAGTTTCAATATCATTTATGAAAATGGAGAATAGTAAAGGTGACAGGTTTTCCCCCTGTCTGACGCCGTTGTTACATGAGAAGTAGTTTGATACATCATTATTACATTGTACAAGTGATTTGATATTGCTATACATTGATTTCACAAGATTCAGGAATTTGCCCTTTATACCAATCGTTTGCATTTTTTTCCACAATCCCACTCGCCAAACCGTATCGAAAGCTTTTGTAAAATCTATAAAGGCACAATAGAGTTTTTGTTTCCTATCTTTCAAAATTTGCATCAGATTATAAATTATAAATACATTGTCAACAGTGGAGAATGATTTTCTAAACCCGGCTTGGGCAGGTGTTAAAACATTATTAGTATCTAAGAAATCTGAAAGGCGGTTGTTTAATATTTTAGTGAACAATTTTCCGAAACAACTAAGTAGAGTTATTGGTCTATATGAGTTAGGATCAAATTTATCGCCTTTTTTCTTATAGATCGGTTTAATTATTCCCGTTAACCATGATTCTGGTAAAACACCCTTCTCAAATATGAGATTAAATAGTTCAACTAATAATGGAGCCAGCAAGTCAACACTATCTATAAAATATTCATTTTCCATAAAGTCTATCCCTGATGCCTTACCCCTCTTGAGTTGTTTAATTGCAGAAATAATTTCTTCTTTCACAATGACCCTATCTAAAACATCACATGTAACCTGTATAGCATTGTCAGTATTATCGTTATCTCCTTGTTCACGTTGTGCTGATTCATTTAATGATTTGAAGTGCTCGTAAAATACGTCAATGTCTAAAAAAGAATTGTCATCCTCTTTATTTTGATTACCATTTAAAATTTTCCAAGTGGTCCGAATTCCATTTTGTAGGGTTTGGGCGTCTGACTTTGTGTGTTGGCGTTTAAGTGTGACTCTGAGGGTGTGGGTTCGAATCCTGGATGGGACTTAACCCAAAACGTACTAGAATCTGTACTTTACTAAGAAAGTGTAATCCCAAATATAACATATGTTACATCTGACCACTTTCTAAATAGCATTGTGTAATCAATGTACTTACACTTGCTCTTGCACAGGCAGGAACAAAGGTTTGAAAATATTCTCCAGACAATTGAGAATGGAATAGGCACGGGTGGTTTACTTTCATATTCCAACATCAGACTGCACCTCTGCCTTGCCCACACTTCGTCCGATTTTCCTCTTACTTCGTCGAAAATGTGGCTGGTTGAACGGAAGAACAAACGTATAATAAAGCAATAATTTAATAGGTACATGTTTGTATCAGAATAAGGTGTATTCTTTGATGGACATGCAGAAAATCTATTCTATTCCGATTTCCCAAAATATCTAATCTATTTCGATTTCCCAAAATATAGTTCAGTGTTAAAACAATTATTTCTGTACTGATTTCATAAGGCCGGCGTTTCATGTCTGTTTCAAAACAAAATAAGAATGATTATTGATTACACATACACTATTCACACTTTGCTAAGGATCAAATCATGGATTCAACAGAAAACTATTTTGTGGGGTCAGATTTGGTTTAAATTTCTAAGCTTATAGTAAGCATGGATCCTAGGTTTCAGTATGTCATTGCATCTTGTGGATCCCATACCTGCTATTTATATGTGTTGTTTATTTGTCAGTGACTCGTTCCATGATTTGCAAAATGGTTGATTGGTGCCATGAAAACCATTTTTATGGTTACTCATGTATCAAGTGCATAAGCTTAGATTAAAGTGGCTGTTTGTCTGAAAAGGTGTTAACATATTATTATTTATCCAGTTTTAAATGGATACAGTTTCAAAATATAAATCTACGCATATGTAAAGTTGTGAATTTTTGTGATCCTTAGCAAAGTGTGAGTAGTATATACATACGTACCATCCCACAGAAAGACTTTCCGGATCATCATGTATATATTAGCAGTAGGATCCTAAACTTATGAATGAATTAGAAATTTTTGGTGACAGCAACTACCAATAAAAATGTTGTATAACACTCATTGAACGTAAAGGCCACAAGTACTTTCTGCTGCCTATAAAGTGGCTTCCACCTCACTGTATTGAGGTAAACTAAATACTTCTAAATTGTAAAGTTATGGGTAACACATATGCCGATCATTTTTATGTTAAAATTTAACCTGTCTGATCAGTTTGATAAATTAATCGCCAGAATTATATAAATAAAGGACACTCGTGAGATGGCTCTTAACCTTGCACATCAACTGAACACAGCAATACTTTAAATCTTCCCCTTCAGCTTGATGAATTTATACTCACTTGAATCGTGCGATCAAAAGGTTCAGCAACAACACGTTGGTCATAATCATATAGACTGCCGTGAAATATGGAACATAGGTTCTTCCAATCTTTGAAGGACATATTGGTTTGGAACAGTCTGGAAATAAGGGGAATCGATAGAAAATTCCTTCTTAAATCAGGCGATAAATCATTTTTTGTTAATTCTAATTTAGATCAGGACATATTGCGAATGTTAGATTCTTAATTACACTTAGTTACACAATTTTGTTATCATACTTTCAAGTTCTTCCAAAAAGTCCAGTTGTCCAAATATCAACCAGAATGCTGTAACGGGGATATGAAGGACAAAGTCGATTGACCAAACTGAATTCGGATAAAGAATGGCTTCCGCGCTAACTGCATATGAAAACAGCGCCACACACAGGATCACCAGGAACGGCAGGAGGTCTTTCACCTGAAACATGTATCGTGTTAGTGGTAAGTCAAATGAGAGAGAGAGAGAGAGAGAGAGAGAGAGAGAGAGAGAGAGAGAGAGAGAGAGAGAGAGAGAGAGAGAGAGAGAGAGAGAGAGAGAGAGAGAGAGTGCGAGAGTGTGAGAGAGAGGGAGAGTTGCTTCAAGTTTGGTCGATTATATGCATGCAACGTTAGGCACCTTGCTTTCTTTCAATAATACGGGATATATAGTTGCCTTGTTAAATGAAAGCTTTCATCCTTGTGACGTCGAGAGAGATTATATTTCTAGCCAATACTCGTTCAGTTGAGCTAAATGGGTCATCTTATCAACGTTTCCAGTTTGAGTGTATGTAGATAGGTCTTGATCACGTTTAACACATAGTACGGATGGACAGTATTTAAGAAATACCTACCATTTTGAACATCATGTATAACATTGGACCGATCGTCTTGCTCAAAGTGAAAGCTTGAAGGAATCGCCAGATGAAACACATGCAGTTAATGCTGAGGAATAACCGTCCATAGTCATAGGTGGCAGAAATCCAACGCAGAGTGTAGCCAATGATGAAACCAAGGATACAACAAATATCCAGAACGTTCCATTCGTCTTGTAAGTACAGTCGGACATTCTTTTTCAGATTGTGAAACGAGCGGCAAGATGATTTTCCCCTTTGGGTTTTTCTTGATTTGTTCTTTTGTTCGTTGTTGAACTGTGCTATCTGAGAACAATTAGAATACCAAACTTCCCGAAAATTGTCACGAGTCATTACCCTGATTTAAGGCGACCGCAAAAAAGTTACAATAATCAAACCCGTAACAGCGTAAATTCCATTGATGTGTTCACTTGTGTAATCAAAACTAGATGGAAAGGGGTTACTCAACAATGGCTGTATACCTCCACATCTTACTGTAATTAATGATTAACGAGCGTTTCATCCGAAAATATACTCATGCAAATAATGGTTGTCATCCCTCCCCCACCCCAAACTTCAATAATACACACACACCTCACACCCTCTCCAAATATATAAATTGAAGGGGGTGACAACCATTATTGGCATGAGTATATATGTAGACAGTGGAATTATGACATAATACCTAATTTCTGATTGCACTTTTGATTACATCGTGTAATCTTACAAATAAAACTATTGCTAATACCATTGAGACAAAGCATTGGATTAAATGCAAATATCAAGTAAGTTTTTGTTTGTTTGTTGTTTAACGCCGCACTCGGCAGTATTCCAGCTATAGTTTGGCATGAAATGCATGTGGACCCGGTTTTTTGTAAATATCCCTTCATCCAATGACCCAATCGATCTCAAACTGTGCAGGTGGATGTTTTGTCAGACAACCAAATCACATTGTAAATCACAGATTTTATGCATTTGTATTAAAGAATCTGTCTATGTAACTGTCAACAAAATAAACAGCAGAACGCAGACTGCTTGCAGAGGGAGGGAGCCAATGACCTGTAACAGCGGCAATGTTGGGTCATAAAGGTCAACGTTACTCAATGTAGGTCAGGTATGCACGTGACAGGTATGAAAGGGTGTCACAGGTCGTGAATAGGGTAAGGTGGGTGCCAACTGTTAACCCACATACGGAGTTTGTTTCTCTGAGTTGTTCAACATCAACCACTAAACCCATTAGTGATAATTATTCTGTAGGTTAAAATCTTTAAATTTGTAATGTTAATGTCATATTTTTTTATGCAGTACCTATAAGTGGAAATGCATTTAAAGAACACAGAAAGTATATTTACACTAACTCACTAATCGGACCACCTATGGTTAGAACTCAACAACTGTTAAAGCCCCGTTCCCTCGGACACAAGCACACACAATCATGCACGCTCATTGAAGAAAAGATAGAATGAAGACAAAAGTGTTATGTTTTGATGTCGTTCACATTCCAAATTAAGCAATGCATTTCTAATAGCTTTAAGCATATAGATAGTTAATATTTATATTTTCATGATAATTTTATGTGAAATGAGTGTTTCATGTTACACTATAAGTCGTTGGAATTAGTCAGTGCTGTCATTGTTAAAAGAAGTTATATTTCTTTGAGCATATCTGGCTGGATACTATTATTATCTGTAAATATAATAACAGAATTAAACTTCATCAAGTTCACTCCATTCTTCCACAGATGAGGAGTCAGTGTCCAGACGAATGACAACTGGATTAACTGTTTGCTCCTTCAAGCCATCTTTGAGCCAGTACTCTTTCTCCACTTTCTTGACATGTTCAACACATGCATGCCAGCGTGCAATGTCAATGTCACATATAGCAGTGCTGACAATGTGCTTGACATCATTCAACTTGAATGATTGATTTTTCCGGGCCACTGTACTTTTAAGGTCTCCCCAGATAAGTTTGATTGGGTTGAGATCACAGTGGTACGGTGATAATCTCAAGACCTTATGGCCGTGTTGGCGTAGCATGTTGTCAATGTTATATGTGGGTGGAGGTTTGTTAGGTTTAATCAAAGAATACAACTGTGGTTTAGTGGCCTTAATTGAAAATTGTACATTGTTATTTGTTAGCCATTGCTGCATATCTGACTTCTTTGTATTGGAAGTTGGGCACCTATTGTTTGGATCACGAACACTGTGATAGGCAGCATTGGCCATGACAACAAGACTTTTGTAAGGCAGAGCTGGCAACAATTGTTCCTCAACATACTGTGTGAAAACCGTTCATTTCTGTATGATAGTCCCTACCATCTGTGCTCTTTGACCGAAATACCAGATCACACCCAGGTAGGAATGCACGGTGGGAACCAGCATGAAGAACGATTAAACGTTCACCTTTGCCTGTTGGTATTTTCCTACCATCACTGGGATCAGTGGGTAGCCACTGTCTGGCAGCAGTATGGTTTGCATTGACCCAGGTCTCATCTAGATATATGGGTTTGAACCCATCCTCTCTTACCTGCTTAATTTCTCTCAGATAGTTACACCTTATTTTCACAATATCAGATCTCTCACACATTACAAGTTTCTGGTTTGCTACCTTCTTGTACTTGTATCCAAATTTGAGCAGTAGTTTGCTTGAAGCATAAACCTAGAAACATTAATGTCGTGATCCTCTGCAAGCGATGTGTTTTAACTTTCTTGTGGACAGGTGTTCATTTCTATCAAATAGCCGGCGGATGACATCTCTGATGACTCTGATGTCAAAAGAATCTAACTTTGGATGCCTACCTTTCTGTACAAGGTTTTGTTTATTGGTTGTTGGTTTATTTTCACAATTTTAGCACGATGTTCTTTTTCATGACAAGTGCAAGAGTTGTACGTTTCATGTAATCCCACACCTTTATAAACCGGTTTGCTACGTTTGCTCTCTTCTTTAAAAAAATTCAACACATTTCTAATTGAACGTTTAGCATCATCTGAACAAGCTTTCATGATGACAGCTAGAAGTAGTCAATGTGAATGATCCAAACGGTCTTATCATGAACTGCACGTGCATTTACCTTTATGACCCAACACTGCCGCTTTTACAGGTCATTGGCTCCCTCTCCCTCCCTCTTAAGCAGTCTGCGTTCTGCTGTTTATTTTGTTAACAGTTACATAGACAGATTCTTTAATACAAATGCATAAAATCTGTGATTTACAATGTGATTAGGTTGTCTGACAAAACATCCACTTGCACAGTTTGAGATCGATTGGGTCATTGGATGAAGGGATATTTTCGAAAAACCGGGTCCACATGCATTTCATGCCAAACTATACAAGGTGCCGTCTGTAAAGAACTGAGTCTGAACCAGGCGATCCAGTGATCAAAATCACGAGCATCTCTCTACGCAATTAACATGTGTCAACCCAGTCTGGGAGTCCGGCCACCCGATCTCGTTAGTCGCCTCTTACGACAAGCATGGATCGCTGAAAAGTATGGTAGTGGATAAAGCGTTGGCTCGTCACGCCGAAGACCCGGGTTCGAATCCCCACATGGGTACAATGAGTGAAGCCCATTTCTGGTGTCCCCCGCCGTTATATTGCTGGAATATTGCTAAAAGCGGCGTAAAACCATACTCAGTCAGTCAGTGCTGAAGAGGAACTCTAACTCAGATCTTCGCAGGTTATCAAATACAAAAGAATAATCATATACTGCTGATTTTTTAACCTCATTTATATTTAGGCGTTTGGGAATGGCAATGTGGTAAGCATACCTGTATTGCTTCCTCTACAAAAAAAGCTAGAATCCACACGAGCAGCGGGACCTCCCAGTTCCATTTGAATTCAAACGTGAGGACAATCAACATGAAATGGGCATACAGGCCAAGGAAAATACAGTAGACGAGCTGAAAAACAAGCAGCACAGAAATTGGTGGAATTGCTTGATGATATTACTCATGCATTACTACTGCAGTTTACCGACCATTGTTCATCGTCGTAGAGTTATTGAAACGACACATGATGCAATATGGCTTGTACTCGTAAGTTTGGTAACAAGTTCTATATTCAGGCCATGTATTGTGTCTGGGACGTATATGCATCAAACAAATTGCATATAAACCTTTTGCATATGAAATACATTACTAAAATAACGAGTAATGTAGCACAATTATGCTTTTAGATACCGGCAGAATATGTCCAGTCTTACTTTAGCTGATGTTGGTTGTTGAATTCGATAGACACCAGTGACAAAAAAGCCATCCCTAATAATGGTTAAATCTCTGCTGAAGGCAGAGCCAGTGGACCATTTGCTTATATTATAAGAATGTGATTATAAAATACTCGTGAAATGTGACAATTCCAGGTGTTTACGAGGGCGTTTGACATTTCACCGACAAAGATAATGGTCGATGCAGGTATATATACCATATGTATTTTTCAGTTAAACAACTGACTTGTGTCGTTGCATGTAGGGAAGAAGATATAGGTCGCCACTGCGTGACTGTGATCACATACAGATGCTCATGCGTCATGCACTAGCAACTGCTTTTAGCATTACTGCATGTCATTTTGGACACGCCACACACACACTCTCTCCCCTCTCACACAATACACTCTGCCCTCCTTCTCTCTCCTCACATACACTTCTACCGCCCCTGTCTCTCTCTCTCACACACACATACCCTCCCTCTCTCACACACACACACACCCTCCCTCTCTCACACCTCACACAATAATATACCCTCCCTCTTCCCACATACCCTCGCCCCTCTTTTCACACACACATACATACCCCTCCCCTCTCTCACACATTATTATACCCTCCCTCTCTACATATATTCTCCCCTTCACTTTTACATTACCTACTCCTCCCTCACTCTTTTTCACACATACCCCCTCTCTTTCACACATACACATACATAACCCTCCCCCTCTCTTTTCTCTTTCCTACATACACATACCCTCCCTCCCCTCTCACACACACACATAAGACTCCCCCTCTCTTCACATTAACAATTCCTCCCTCTCTCTCTCACACACACATACCTTCCCCCTCTTCTTTCACAAACATAACCCTCCCCTCTCTTTCATTACACACATACCCTCCCCCCTCTTTTCTCCTCACATACACATATTCCTCCCCCTCTGTTTCCCACACACATATACTCCTCCTCCTCCTTTCTCCCCTAAACACACATACATTCCCCCCCTCCTCTTTCACACACATACTCCTTCCCCTCTCTACACACACATACCCCTCCCCCCTCTCTCTCTCTCACACATACATTCCCCCTCTCCTTTCACACACACATACCCTTCCCCCCTCTTTTCACACACATACCCCTCCTCACACTTTCTCCTCACAGCACCTTTCCCCCCTCTTCACACACACTGTTCCCCCTCACTTTCACACACATACCTGACCTCTCACACATACTCCTTGTTCCCTCTCTTTCACACAAACCCTCCCTCCCTCTCCTCTTTTCATAGATATACCTTGCCCCTCTTTCTCTCAAAACACACATACCCCCTCTCACACACATACATTCCCCCCTCTTTCTCTCAAACACACATACCCCTCTCACATCACCACATACATTCCCCTCACTTTCACACACATAGCTTCCCCCTCCTTTTCAATAGCACATACCCCTCCCCCCTCTCTCTCTCAGCACACATACATTCCCCTCTTTCACACACATACACCCCTCTCCCCCCCTTTTCACACACATACCTCCCCTCTCTTTTCTCTCTCACATACATACCTCCTTCCCCTCTCTTTCACACATACCTGTTCCCCCTCACTTCTTTACACACATACCCACCTCTCACACATACCTCTTGTCTCCCTTTTCAATATAATATATTCTGTTCCCTCTATTTCCCCATAGATATACCTGCCTCTTTTCTCTCAAAACACACATACCCCCTCTCTACATTAATTACATTCCCCCCACTCTTTTCACATATACCCTCCTTCCTCTTCTTTCACACACACTCACTCCCTTACACTCATAATTCCCCCTCTTTCACATGCCATTACATACCCTCTCCTCTCTCACACAAACATACTCCCCCTCTCTCTCTTTTCACAGATATAATTCCTCCCTCTCTTTCACTCAAACACACATCCCCCCTCTCTCTCACACACATACATTCCCCCTCTTCTCTCTAAACACACATACCCTCTCACACACACACACACATACCCCCTCTCTTTCACACACATACCCCTCCCTCTCTTCACACACATATACTCCTCCCTCTCTCTCACATACCCTCCCCCTCTCTTTCACATACACATACCCGCCTGCCTCTTTCACTGCACACAATACATATACCCTCCTCTCTCTCTCACACACACATACCTCCCTCTCTCACACACCCTCCCCCTCTCTTTTTCACACACCACCTCCCCACTTTCTCTTCACACACATACCCCCCTCTCACACAAACATACCCTCCTCTCTCTCTCCCTCTCTCTCTCACACACACACCCTCCCTCTCTTTCACACACACATACCTCCCCTCTCTCTCCCTACACACATACCCCCTCTCTGTTTCACACATACATTCCCCCCTCTCTTTCACACACATACACCTCCCCTCTCATGGCCACATACCTTTCCCCTCTTTCTCTCTCACATAACCTCCCCCCTCTCTCTTTCTTTCACACACATAACCTCCCCTCTCTTTCACACACACATACCTTCCCCCTCTCTCTCTCACATACACACATACCCTCCCTCTCTTTCTCACACACATACCCCCCTCTCTCCTCTCTCACACACATACCCTCCCCCTCTCTCACACACACATACATTCCCCCTCTTTCACACACATACCCTCCCTCTCTCTCATACACACATACATTCTCCCTCTCTTTCACACACATACCCCCTCTCTTTCACACACATACCTTCCCCCCTCTTTCTCTCACACATAACCTCCCCCTTTCTTTTCACACACATACCCTCCCACTCTTTCTCTCACACACATACCCCTCCCCTGTTTCACACACATATACCTCCCCTCTTTTCTCTCAAACACACACATACCCCCTCTCACACACATACATTCCCCTCTTTTTGTCAAACACCCACCCCTGTCTCTCACACACATACATTCCCCTCTCTTTCACACACATACCTTCCCCCTTCCCTCTCTCACACAAACCCTCCCCCTCTCTTTCACACACACATACCTTCACCCTCTCTCTCACACACACACACACACACACACACACACACACATACCTTCCCCTCTTTCACACACACATACCTCCCCCCTCTTTTCACACACATACCTTCCCCTCTCACACATACACCTTCCCCCTCTCCCTCACACATAACTACCCTCCCCTTTCACACACATACCCTCCCTCTCTTTCACACACATACCTCCCCTCTCTCACACACATGCCCTCCCCCTCTCTTTCACACACATACCTCCCCCTCTCACACATACATACCCTTCCCCTCTCTCATACTCTCTTCTCTCCCTCTCCTCCCGCTACACACACACACACACACACAACACACACACACACACACACACACACACACACACACACACACATATATATACACACACACACACATATATATATATATATACTTACGAGGTAACGATGTGTATTTTGATCACTGGGGTTGAATAATATGCCCTAAGTCGGGAGCAGCAAGCCACATCTGGTCTTCCTTGAGAGTAAAAGAGATATTTCACATTATTGATGATACAAGACATGTCGAGATTCGTTCAATCAGCGAGAACTTAGCACAGTCAACACAGACAGACACTTGTTCCTTACACTACAATCTAAAACTGTTTGAAACAGGCTTGTCTACTAAATGATCTTCCCAATAGCACGACGATTTTTCATTACTTTAATCTGATGATACCATCATGGCATTGTGTATTCATTTAATCTGAAGGTTAGCTGTATCGCAATAGATTTAATCGTCTGCAAATCTCAAGAGGACCAGTTCCAAAGCCTTGAAACAATAGAAAATAAAAGATACCAGCAGTTTGGGTTGCTTGCTTGCAATACTGTACTCAATATAATATTAAACGAATGTTAACCCACGTTGCTTTGACATTAACATACAAACGTACATGCAGGTATTCTTCTCGTGCGCTACGTGTGGACCTTTATGGCTGTCAGATTTTCTATTTGATCCTGATTTCTCCTTCAGAAACAACCAGATGAAGGCTGGACACAGGGTACACAAGAGCAGCTGCAATGTGATGACAGCTGATGTATTACATGAATAATGCTCGGGGGGACAGCAACACTGCAGCCTTCTTTACACCGAAATCACAAGTATAGTACACTTCGAACCAAACTATGAGATCCAAGGTGTGCTAACATGGGTACTGCACTGCCCATATCAGTGTTATCATTACATTGACCACTTTTTAAAAGGCATGTATATATAGGCGATGGAATCCGTGTCAATTTACATTTGTGAGGGGGATACACAAAGTGCATGATCTTGAGTGAGTGAGTAAGTTTAGTTTTACGCCGCACTCAGCAATATTCCAGCTATATGGTGTCGGTCTGTAAATAATGGAATCTGGACCAGACAAATCAGCATGAGCTTCGATCTGCGCAATTGGAAGCCTGACCACCCGACCCCGTTAGTCGCCTCTTACGACAAGCATTGGTTACTGAAGATCAATTATAACCCGGACCTTCACGGGTCTGCATGATCGTGACTACCACTTGTCCGACTACTGCGGTGGGTTAGGCGCTGACTTAGTGTGCTGGTGATTGGATGCCTGACTCTGACAGTGTGGTTTCAAACCCTGAATGGGACTCAACTGAAAAAAGTACTAGAGTTTGCTCTTCCCTGAGATAGTGTAATCCCAAGGACAACTGTTGAAACTGACCATGTTCTTAAAAGCATTGTGTATTCACACAATCATATATACTATTCACACTTTGCTAAGGACCAAATCATGGATTCAACAGAAAACTATGATGTGGGGGTCAAATTGGATTTAAATATCTAAGCCTATTGTAAGCATGGATCCTAGGTTTCAGTATACCATTTCATCTTGTGGATCCCATACCTGCTGTTAACAGGTGTTGTGTACTTGTCAATGACTCGTTCCATGATTTGCAAAATGGTTGATTGGTGCCATGAAAACCATCCTTATGGTTACTCATGTATCAAGTGCATAAGGTTAGATTAAAGTCACTGTTTGCCTAAAGAGGGGGTACCATATCATTATTTATCTAGTTTTAAATGGAAACACTTTCAAATTATGAATCTACGTTTAATAAAATTTGTGAATTTTTGTGATCTTTAGCAAAGTGTGAGTAGTATATTATAATCAATCAATATGCAGTCTCTAATTCAATCGACGGTTTCTAGACAACGTGCTGCACTAAAACCCAAATGATTCGCTATTCTATTGTGACAATCAACCGGTGAAGAGGTATAGTTCTGTGGATATACGACGTCTTTAATATATGCGACGTGTGGGTGTAGATACAGTACAGCCAGAAATTATTGAGAATTTAAAGATTGTAAATTTTATATTTTTTTCACTCATTACTCACGTATTAAATGTGAATATTAGCAGAACATAACTCCAGATTCAAAGACAGGTGAACAGTTAGCATTTTGTCAAGGCATCATGGTCAGCGATTCAGGCTTCAATGCGGCGGGGCATACTACTGATAAAAGAAGTTAGAAAGTCGTGGTCCATGCTGTCCCAATATCGGACCACCTTTTCTTTCATTTCAGCAATATTTGTCAGATGTTTCTTATTGACACTTTCCTTCATAAGTCCCCAAACATTTTCTATTGGATTAAGGTCAGGGCTATAGCTTGGCCAATCTAATAATGTCATATTTGGGGTCCGAAACCAGGCCTGTGAATGCTTTGAACGATGTTTTGGGCCGTTGTCCTGCTGGAAAATCCAAAAATGTCCATAGAACACGTGAGTAGACGGAAGTAAATGTCCCTCGAGAATGTCTGTGTACCGCTCACTGTTCATATTTCCTCCAAATACACAGAGGGGCGTTGCCCCTAACACAGATATGCCACCCCACACGTTAAATTTCGGACTGTACTTTGGGCGCTGATACAAAGGTTTTTCAGTTTGTTTGGTCCAAAATTTCAGTGTATTAGGAAACAGCCACACAGAACTTTCATCTGAGAAAATCACATTGTCCAAGTTAAAATTTCTATGCTGTAAGGACCAATTCAACATTCGCTCCTTTTGTTCAGGTTTCATGATCGGTGATGGAATTCCTCGACTTTTCTGCCAACCCATTGCATGCAGCTCAGTTCTAATTGTCTCCTTACAGACAACCACAGTTCCTCTGTCAATCATATCCAGCCTTAAGTTTTCTAAACTCCTTCGTTTGTTTTTATAAACAAGAATACCAAGCCGCCTCCTGTCACCGATAGTCAATTTTCTGGGCCTCCTTGCGCCTCCCTGGTGCTCAATGCCATATCCATTTGCAATATTTTTCAAAACACGATAGACAGTGGACAAAGGGATGCCTGTTCTACTTGAAATCACTTTAGCTGATCTGATGTCCTTGATATAATACTATAAAATCAACTTCCTCTTCTCTAAATCATCCATACTCAGGATCACTGGAAATGTCGTCTGCTAGTAAGTAAACAAAGGGGGATAACTCTTCACAAACTAATGAAAAAGGATTAACGGAGTTGTCTCTCTTGAATGAAACCAAGCACTTGATAGCTGGTCAAGGTTGTTTATCTAGAAATCCAATTAAACATATTCCTAAAATTCTCAATAATTTCTGGTCATACTATAATAACAACGTTATCAAGCAGGTGAGTACAGTGTGTAAAACAATTACATTCATGGGTAAAGTTATGTGTATAAGTGAAAGCAGAATAAACAAGGGAGGGATTAAAGAGGCAGCCAGTTAAACGATGGACAATGAGGTTAATGGAGGACGGTGTTGGGTCATTAGGGTTGAGGATAACAGAGGTGTCGTCGCCATTTCTTTACAAGCACATGGGAGTTATTGGCGACGTCTATATTGTCGGGCATATTGTAATAAACACGTTTTATATCCACAGAACTGTCCCAGAAAGGTTAGATACTTTAATGTTCAAGACAACAATATGAAAATCTATGCCGAAAAGTCGCACCATAACAAAATAAAGAAGTTGTCATCCATGAAGTATCATGCCATTGTTATTATTCATCAATAAAAATGCCAATCAAATAGAACTATCCCAGTTGTTCAACGTCTAAATGCCACTCAAAGAAGCTCACGATAATCGGGACTATAAGTTAAACCCACCGTCAGCATAGATGTAGATTTGGGGATGTCGCCATACCATTTTGATAAGGTGTAGAACACCATGCCTTCACTGTTGAATATACTGGAGTTTTTACTTTCGAAGGCCAGGGCTAGAAAATCGACACCCCAAGAGTTGTGTTTGATTCGTTTATCGATAAGCTTCACCGTCGTCTTCTTGTGGTCCCAATAACACGCATCCATTGTCCCGACTGTCAGAGATCGGTAGAAGCTATAAAAAAAGAGACACACACATTCACATTCACTCGTCATAATAAACAGTTAGTTTGACGTGTAAAGTTATGACGTACTGATATGTACACCACATGCATTACATTACAGACCGTACGTGCTGAATGTTGCTTCTAGTTTACAAAATAGTCGCCTATCAGTACGGTGACAGTTGAAGTTATAACTGGCCCCGATAATGATTCTCTGTTTGCATACACTACACACATGAAAGTACACCACAAACATGAAACTACACTACACACATGGAAGTACACCACAAACATGAAACTACACTACACACATGGAAGTACACCACAAACATCAAACTACACTACACACATGGAAGTACACCACAAACATCAAACTACACCACAAATATGAAACTACAAAACACACATGAAACTACACCACACATATGAAAACATCACAATACACTACACACTACACACACACACACACACCACACTTCACTACACACATGAAACTACACTACATAAATAGACACACATCACATTATATTACACACATGAAAATACACCTCACACATCACACTACACACATCACACTACACACTTACACAACACTAAACACATGGACACACACCACACTACACTACGGACATGGACACACATCACACTACACTACACACATGAAACTACACCACTCACATGTAACTACACCACACACATGAAACTATACCACACACATGAAACTACACCACATACATGGACACACATCACACTACACTAGAGACACACCACACTACACACATAGACACACATCACACTACACACAAGAAACTACATTACACACACGAATCCACACTACACACATGAAACTACACAACACACATCACACTACACTACCAACATTAAACTACACCACATACATCACACTACAGTACACACACGAAACTACATTACAAACATGAAACTACACCACACACATCACACTACACTACACACCTGAAACTACATTACAAAATGAAACTACACAACACACATCACAATACACCACACACATGAAACTATATTACAAACATGAAACTACACAACACACACCACACTACACTACACACATGAAACTACATTACAAACATGAAACTACACCACACACATCACACTACACTACAACATGAAACAACACTACACACATGAAACTACACCACACACATCACACTACATTACAAACATAAAACTACACCACACATCACACTAGACTACACAACACACACTACACTACACTACACACATGAACACACTACACACATGAACACACATCACACTGCACTACACACATGGACACACATCACACTACACTACATACATGAACCTACATTACAAACATGGAACTACACCACACACATCACACATCACACTACACTACAATTTCACACAACACTACACACATGGACACACACTAAACTACAAACATGAAACTACACTACATACATGGACACACATCACACTACACTACACACAAGAAACTACACTACACACACGAATCTACCCCCCACACATAACACTACACCACAGACATCACACTACACACTACACACACACATCACACTACACCACACACATGAAACTACAGTACACACATGAGTGAGTGAGTTAAAATTTATCGTCACATCGGCAATTTCAGCCATACCGTGACGCGTACACACATGAAACATGAAACTACTTGATGATGCTAGAGCATCATGTAAATAACTAACCTTGCGTTTTCCTTTCGTATCGCTTTCTTCCTGCTATTATGCGTTTTGTTTGCAATGCTCTCCATAATGGTACCGGCTATCAGGGCAGACACAACAAGGTCCTTGATACGAGACAAAAACATGACGATCTATTACTCATTTCAAATATTTACGTGACACATGCAAATGGACATACGAAGAAGATATTCGTTCGAAATAAAACTTCATGGATAATTTGTGGTCTCTTTCTACCCACACAACACACACACCAGCGATATTTTCTCGTTTCGAGTTATTTCACGTTAGTTTATATAATTTAAGTATTTGCAAATCTGTCTCTTCCCCTGTATCAATATTCATACAACATGAACTTGCAAAGGACAGTAGACGTGAGCTGTAGGCATTGTGTCCATATGAAAGTTCGAACGCGCGTCTTCGTAGTGATTAAACCATTAGGAAACCCCACCGATTAAATGTGGGCGCATAGTTGCGTGAATTTACAATGCTGACCTGTCCTCGAGTCCAAAAATGTCGAGCCACGATGTTCCTGTTGGTTAAAACCGCCCACAAGAACAGCTGTGTAAATATTTCACCTCCCATAGTTCTCTCTTCCGTTTCGACTGTTTCTCCTGTATAGTGATGAGTCCCAACCTCCGCTGTGCCTTGCTGAAGCGTGAAAATTAACTAGTAGTATAATCATTATGTTGATACATATCATTCTACACTATTAATCTTAGTGATACCTTACTTTCGATCTGTTGCCTTACTGACTGGTATGTCGAATCATGCTTATTCGGTTGAGTCGAATACCTTTTGTGTGCTGTCGGTGTTCTGGTCTTTGCTGACGAAGACACGTGGTACAAACTGCTCGAGGATTCTATCCGTGAATGAGCGTATGCCCGCCTAAACATTAAGAAAATAATATACGATTTATATGGGAGATAATGATCAAAGAAAATTAGGTCAGCACTTTATAATGTGGCAGTGATATTCATTGTGTAACAATGCTTCACTGTATCTGTGTAGTACCTGCTCCAGACAATTGGTAGGAATACAGTGGAAAGGCCCACAAGGTTGCATTGACCTGTAGTGCCATCCAGACCTCCTACTAACTGTAGCTCAGCACTGCCCCTCACTAACAATATATCAACACATATACAATGTATTTCAGTTGTAACATTGTTATACAGTGTATAACACATAACAGGTTCCACGCCCCTTTTGGCTAACTGCTAAATGGAAATAGTACAACACCCCATTTGATAAGTTCCTACATGAAATCTAATTCAAATATTTGCATTTTCTACAGGATTATATGCACAGGAAATATTCTACCAAACATGTAATGTTTCACTGGTGGTGCGGGTGGGTGCGGGGTGCGGGGTGCGGGGTGCGGGGTGCGGGGTGCGGGAGAAGTGAAGGGAGTATTTATGGCAACATTCACTGGTAAAAATGTTCCGTTGGATCAGAACCACCAGATATGTCCATGGGATATAAATAATCTGTTATCTGCACCGTTGTCGACGAACCCTTGGTAATTATTTACATATGACATTTTGGGTCACAATATTTTCCCAATTCTTGGTGTAAAATATTCCTCGGTAAAAAACACCAGTAAAAGGGAAGTGGGTTCCTTCATAACACAGCTCAAAAAACACATCTTTGAATGCTCACGTTTCGCATATTTCTTTCTAAAGCCGCATCACTCTTTTTCTTTGAATCTACATTCATGGATGCCCATAAGCCCTTGTAACAAAGAGGAAATTGGTTGATTGAAAACATAACTTATTGAAGTACAGTTCAGCTGCGTCATAGTTCAGCTGCGTCATACACAGAAGAGGGTAATTAGACTGTTTACATGATACCAAATACTGGATAAAAGACATCGATCACTTATTCAAATTCCAAGAGCGTGTGAGAGAGTTAAGATTTACACCGCTTTTAGCAACATTCCACCAATATCACGGCGGGGGACACCAGAAGTGGGCTCCACACATTGTACCCATGTGGGGAATCGAACCCGGGTTTTCGGTGTGACGAGCCATCACATTAACCATCAGGCTACCCCACCGCTCCCTCCAATTCCAAGAACAATTCGTTAAATTATGTGTGACATATATATTCCATATGGCGGACCTCTCACAATGAAATCATATAGTTCAGGGACTTGTGCGTCCACCCGTTCATGCATGCTTGGCAACTCAAAAGCAATGTTTACCATACTGGTTTGAAACACTCGCCCTTGAATACAAAGGTCAGCGCAACCTATGATATTTGTTTGCAATCACCCTAGGATTTGTAAACAATATATGTAAAACGGCAACACCAAAGACTAATCTCATTATCCTCCGACACGGATTTCACTGTATAGTAGGTAAAAGGTAAAAAAGCAAATAATTCTTTGAAGCTCACATGATCTGATTCTGTCTTCCCTTTGAATTCTGCGTATTTTTCTTTAATGTTTAGATGTTTCTCTGAAAGGTCAACCTCTTGCTGAAAGGAAAGTTATTAAAATGTTTATGTTGCAACATGTTTGGTTTCACAAATATTTGATGGTAAATATTTTTCAATCAAGCAATGCGTTATTACCTTACTGGAACATGATTATATTATCTCCAGATTGTATGATGCCGTCTCTATTAGAGGCATGTGTTTATGAATAGCAACTTAATGTTTCCACGTTGCTGTCAAGGTTATTTTGACTGATATCGATATGCATGTAAGGTCACTGAGCAACAAAGCAGCGTGTTCAGTGCTGGGAATGTCTGGTGATGCCATGAAGAACACAAGTAATGTACCAAGCACAACAAAGACACAGTGTTATCCTGTAAGTCTCCACTATTGTCCACGCGTTAACAGTGTTGCTGTTTACCTCTGGATAGTTTCCGGAATACAAGTAGGTTTATTAAGTGTTTTTGTTACTCATATCGCCTTTAAGATTTATTTTTTCTTAAAAATACTTTTTAATATGCTTTATATTCTCATATTTGCGTTTCACTGTATTCTTCTTTAATATTGGGGGAAAACACAGATATATTTGCATTGCACATCGTAAACCGAGGTCACATTATATAAACATAATGACTACCTGGACCAGTTGTGAAATGAGCTCCTTCTTGTAGTCTGTCTTCTGTTGCTGTGAAATAATTTGCTGTATTTAAACACTGCTTAATCACTTAAAAGCATAAACAATATTCAATATATAAGGTACAATTATTAAACATTTATTGTCACATGAGATTATGCGCAGCTGCAATTACGTGCAGCGAGGTGGCAAACCTTCAAAATAGTGTATGCAGTTAAGGAAGAGAGTATTTGATTAAAGGCGACAAACAACTTCAATCGTAGAATTCCGACTCTTATCATAAGCATGTTGTTGGAAATCACTTCTGCTCCACTGCCGCACCCCGGCCAAACACACGTAAAAGCCAGTCAGTTGCTCACAGGGGCATGTGGCACACGCATAAATAAGGAATTTCATCGGACTTCATTTCTGTCACTGGATCGACAAATTTTGAAATGTCCACTGCATGTACTCCGCATTAAGGATTTTTGAGAGATTTAATTTGGCATTGAATATTGTAACCTTTGAAATCTTCAAAGAAATATAATATGGACAGAAAGAGAAGAGACTGTCAAAATGTCCTTTCTGCATAATTGTCAGTTTTCGCAAAGTTACCAGAACCTTTGGGAATAGAGATGCCACAGTATCTGGGGTAAACAAATCTGACCCATTAGAACGCAAAATATGACGTCTTGTACAGGTCTGTTTCATTACTTGTACCATATGTTTCGTGTTTGTTAAACTGACCATTGTAATTCCGTTTTGATATGCCCCATGAGTGACACAAGCGGGGCAAGTTACCCTCACCTGGTATCAATGCAATGTGTTTGTGATTTTCTGGAAACTTACATGGGATGGCAATGTCTTCAATGTATGATGATGAAATCTACATATAATCAGGTGGAGCGTCATAGACCTCCATATAATCATAGTGGCGTCCTTTATAATGTTAATTCGTCATGAATTGCTTATTGGTGTGGTTCGGAGTTAGTTCAATGTAATTTGACGCAATGCTCATGAAACAAATATATCACAGAAGAGTTCAGAAACACCAGATGCAGACTTAGCATGCACACACACGCACACACGCACGCACGCACGCACGCACGCACGCACGCACACACATATATATACATACATGCATGCATACCTGTTCTGAAAAGGCAATGGTTTCGTGTTCCACCTACAAAATAAGAAAAACAATAACTTTGAAATGCTTCCAATACATATTGATTTTATTACGTATATACCTCAAAATGCAGAGTTAGCTAAAGACTGAAAACCATTATGACAATGACGATAGAACGTGTTTCATGACACATTGCAAACTGCCCTGCAACTGTGCATCTGATCACGAAGCAGCTTATAGTGTCAGTGTACTGTATGTGTATAGCACCTACATAAGGAAGTTTTATGTCAGCGTTGATATAAAAACATTACCTCCGTCAAAATAAGTTACAACCATGATTTGTAGATGGATTTTGAATTTTGTACGGTTATGAGGATGTGTGTTTGTTAATTATGTCACATTAATTAACCTTTAGTTATTATGGGTCACAAAAGTTTAAAGCGCTGAGTATGGATTTGAACTCACATCTTGAACTTGGCTATGTAATTTCACCTGTTAAGAGAGTAAGATGAGGAGTTAGAGTTACCTCCTCTTTGTTGTTGTTGTTGCTTCCGGCGGAAGACTGTTGGATTCATTCCAGTGATTTCTATAAGTGTGATCTAAACAGTCGTAGTGAGGCATGGCTACTGCTGTATATAATAGATACTTTAACGATGAATCCAGGTTTACCCTCAGATTCGCGGACGGCAGGCATATGTTGTGTACAGGAAGTCAACAGATTCGGGGGCGGAAGTTGCATGGTTTGGGGTGCTTTCTGTGGGAACAACCGTTCCCGACTTCTGGTCATCCGTGGAAACCCCACAGCTGCTGCTTACCGCGACCAGGTGCTCACCGCTGAACTCGTTCCTTTCATGGCGGCTCATGGCCCAGGTCTACAATTCCAGCATGATAATGCTCGGCCGCATACCTTGATGTTGACACGAAAGTTCCTTCAAAACGCTGGAATCAACGTCATGGACTGGCCATCGAGGTCCCCTGACCTTAATCCAATAGAGCACGTTTGGGATGCACTTGGGAGAAGGCTTCGTGGTCTTAGGAACCAACCTCAGAATTTTAGGAACTTGCGCTGCCTTGCAAGAGCAATGGCGCAGAATCCCCAACCACGTGTTCACAAGCATCAGGCAGTCGATGAGGGAGACGGTGTATCAAGATTTTGGTGAGTTCATATTTGAGATTTGTGACCCAATATTTTAGATTTGAGCTCCAATTGTATTGTATTAGGAATATGTACTGTCATTTATAGTAACCTTGTTTGTATTCAATATATAATTTAACAATATAGACTTGTCTGTGTTCTATTTTCCTGGTTTAAAGGGGACTCAAGACTTTTTGTGTCACAGTAATTTCTAAACCGAGTAGTATGTACACTGGGGTACGAGACCACTTTTGCTAAAGGCCTCTGTAAAGCTTTATTTCATAGATAAAGCCTTTATCAGACCCTGATCTCTCCCCCCAGTGTGCAAACCACTTCTGAATCCCCCAAACAACTTCCTGGTCACTATGGCCGCGAACCAACACTTTCCTGGTCAACCTATATCATGTTGACCTCGACGAAGCAATTTAATGTGAATCTCCTATGATCTCTTTGGTCTTCGTAATGAAGGCCTGTTGGGCTTGTTGTACCCCTTGTACTATGTATTTTTTTTCTCGTCCTCACTGATGGCAGTGCTCTTACGAGACTTGGCCATTATCTCTTGTTTCATCTCGTGGTACTTGGTGAGTTCAGAGAGGACCAAACGAAACTCCTCCTCGGAGACTTTACTGTCAGTGAGTGCGGTGGAGATGGGGTCGCTTACCGTGTTCAGCTTTGCTTTGGCAAGAACCCTGATCCCGTCGTGCTTCAACGCTTTATGATGCAGTCTGCGGGATACAAACTTAAACACCAACCCTGCCAACCCTGACACCCCAGCTGTTATATCAATGCCTAGCACAATAGGTGCGGCTACGATGGTAGCCAAGAACCCGGCTCCTAGTCCCATGCTGGTTGTCATAAGGGCGGTATCAACCCCATCCACAACATTGAAAGCTCTATGGTACTTCTTGCATAGTGCTTTCCGTTTGTCGCGGTCTTGTTCTAGATGGTGTTTTATGTCACATAACTGTCTCAAGCGGAACCCGTCTACGAGTTCCAGTGTCTTCGCTACTTCTTCTACGACTGGGTACAGGCCAATCCTGTGCATATAATGTACTTTAAAAGATATCTTTTAATTGTGTGCTATTTAATTTTAGCAGTGTACTTGAGGCTTATAAGGCCTAGATCATTGTACAGGGGAATATGCGAGAGGCTAATAGGTAACTCTGCGTCCACACGAACCCCATAGAGGCTTACTGAGGGGACTATAGAACCTGTTAAGGGGTCCGGTTGTATGACGATACGGCAATGGTGGTGACTGTGTATGGAGTCCCAGTGTATTGTCATCCCGGGTAAAAGTTGTAGTTCGGTACCATCTGGAGCTACCCCGAGATAGACTTCTATGGCGAGTGTAGAGCCTGGTTTCATAGTCATAAGATCCAATTGGGAATCGGGTACGT